GACTGCCTGTTGGTGAGGTACAGAAAGCACTGGTCATCCATAGAGCAGCTTTTTGCTGCATCTGTTTGAGCTGATTGATGGCACCTTTGTTGCAGGCACCATTAAAATACCAGAGACAATAACTGTATGTGGTAATGGGAACCACACACGATCTATAGAGGAGGCATTGCTGTCTAGGCAAAAGACCTCTGGTGGAGTTCCTGAGCATGCACATGGCTTAGTGTTGCTGCAGTTCAGTTATGGTTAGTTGCGGTCTGCTAACAACAGTTTAGGTAATTAAGCAGTTTCAAGCGGCTTGGAACTGGTTCAACTACGATGAACCGCATCAAAAGTCCATATTTGGAAGCCTTGTTCAGTACTCCATTGTATTGACAGTTATCGTCGAGAAAGTGCCTCATTAAAGAGGAGGCATTCATTTGAGATGCTACAACTGAAAAAAAACTTATTGTCTGCAATCCAAATAAATGAACACTGTTATTTTGCATGGTACTTTCTGGTTGATCATGGGCCGGTACCACTAAACAGCAAATGCAAGCTCTCGAAAAAGTACCAGCCTTTGAAATGCTTCACAAACCACTTGAATAGAGAGAAATATATCTTCAATGCATCATTAAGACAGAAGACTGCCCAACAGCCTTAAGGACAGGATGAGAATAGATATTCTATGACAAGGACTATCAATTATGGAAAAGAATCGAAGCTATTAGCTCAGCAGGCTCCAAACTGGTTTAAACCAGTCAGCTAATCCCAGTTAATTTGCGGTTCAGCTTGCGGTTTAACTGGAACCAGGCTGAACTGCGGCAACACTAACATGGCTTGTACAGTGGTGAATGCCTTAGTAGCATAGTAGCAGACATGCTCATGGAACATGAGCCTGCGGTCGAAGTAGAAGCCCAAGTACCTCCAATAGGTCTTGGCCTTTAAAGGTGTAGCACCAGTGTGTGGGGCGTACCCCAGATCCAGTGCAGGGTTGTAGGCGTTGTGACAATGCAAGAAGTGAAACAACTCAGTCTTGTCGTGTTCAAGAATGAGTGCAAATGCAATAAATAGTAGGTAGATAATCTTATAGGCCTTACACAGGCCCACATTATTATCATTGAGGTGTTTGGACTGGGCCAAAATGGTCCCATCATCCACAAAGGAGAGAAGTGTCATATTGAGTGGTGCAGCTTTGATATAAAAGAGCTTCATTACCAGAGCAATAAAGAGCCCTGAAATAACAGACAAGAGTGCTGAGCCCTGA